ATGGGGCCTCAGTGAACCTGAAGTAGGCCTCAGGGGAGGTCAGCTGTGTCAGCTTCCAGACTTCTCAACTCACAAACACCAGACAACTTATAAGGTCAGTAGGAAAGTTCTGTGACCTTGGTGAGAGAGAAGCTCAGTCTCAGCCCCAATCCCTCCGCAGCTCCGGGGTGGCAGCTGCTTCTGAAGCTCTCGGCCCACAGACTGAGGGTTAATCAAATGGCTGATCAGAGGGGCATTGCAGGGATCTCTTTGCTGGTGCTGAGGCAGGAATCTCTTGCTTTTCCTGCGCTTGGATCTGGGTCACAGTTCTGGGTGGCAATCCTGGGTCTAGGAGGAGCGCTGGCATGGTGGAGTTTGTAATGGGGGTGGAGAGGGAATCCTCACAGTTCCAAGGCAGAAAAGAGTGCTTGTGGTCACTCATAGACGAGAGCACAGGCCAGGAAAGGAGTAAACACCTTGCCCTTGATCATACCACCTTGGAAGAACTGAAAACTTACAGGTCCCTAGAAGTATCTCTGAAAACAGCTGCACAAAACCCCCAAAGCTTGGGACAGTACATTCTCCACACTGGAAGCAGAACCCTACCTTAACAAAGAGTTTAAAACTCAAGTAATTGGCTGAGAATGTGAGCAAACTTTGCAAAAAAAGTCAGACCATAGAATCTTTGGTGACAAAGAAGATCAAAATATACAACCAGAAAAAGACAACAAAGTCAAAGCTCCTACATCCAAAGCCTCCAAGAAAGATATGAATCAGTCCCAGGCCATGGAAGAGCTCAAAAAAGGCTTTTTGAGCCAAGTCATTAATAAAAATAGTAAACAACTCATTTTTTAAAAAAAAATTTTAAACAAAACAGTGTAAAGAACTAATTCCTGAGACACTCTAATACAGATTTCCTTCCAGGATGAAAGTGATCAATTAATCATTACCATTAGGGCAAGTTATTCTACTAGTTTTGAATGTACCAAAGTGGACTATCATCCAGAACTCATATATTCATCTCACCCACAGGGATAAGAATGTGAAATTCCTTACTGAAATTCAAGTAAGATATATTTATGGCATACCCCTGACATAATAAGGTAATAGTCCTGTCAACAAAAGAAATAAGATTCTTTTGGCATAAACCTATTCTTGATGAGCTCATAAAACTTTTAGTAAACACTACTTCCATTTCTAAATATTTACAAACTATCCCTTTAATAATGTTTTAGGATTTTGTTAACAATCACAATCAACCTCTCTAGCCTATAGTTTGAGGAATATATTGCTTTCCTTCTTCTAAAAAATTGAACCAACATTTGTTAGTATCTAGTCCTATAGAATATTTTCCATTTTCCTTGATTTAAATAAAATTGAGAGAAACTCAGTAATGAGACATCTACCACTTGTCTTTTCATGTTTGGAAAAGTGTGTCCCTGGGCCCTGTGACTTGAGGATCGCTATTGAGGGTAGCCAGCTACTCAATTAGCTTTGGTTACAACTACCTATGAATCATGTTTGTCCTGCCATCCCCAGTCCAAAGATCATTCTCCTTAGTAGGAAATAGAGTTATGTATTTCTGCCTTCTCTCTTCTCCACTCCTAGCAGCCATCCAAGCCTTTATCTGATCTTACCTTTGGCCTCAGTGTAGCTAACCTAGTCTCTTATTTCCATTGGCATCCATTGCCACCAGTGATCTCTAATGTTCAGACCCTCTTCTTTCAGAATGGTGCTACTCTTTTGTATCTATCTTCTCTCACTTGTCCTTCTATCTTTTCTAAATTTTTTTAGTCCATGTTCATTAATGACTTCAATATTCTCAGTGAAATAGGGAGCAGAGTTATCTGCAGAGCTCATAGTATCTAGAGCTTGAAAAGAGGTCATCTAGTCCAACATTACAGGTGAAGAAAATGAGGCTCATAAAAGTTAAATGGCTTACCACACAGATAGTTAAGCCAGAGAACTACGATTCAAACTGAGGCTCTCTGAGTCTAAATTCATTTCCCTTTCCCATTATACCATTTTGATTCTCCTTTTGGGATCTGGAAGTAGGTTTGATGTTTAGGAAGGAAAAAAGATGAGGTTTGCAATATGCTGTGGGAAATGATATAAATAGTGGATGGGGTATAGGGTACAAGGATTATCCAGCAGCATTGAGGGCTTGGCTAAGTTTATGTAACAAAAATTGGTAGATGTTGAAATCAATGCAATTTCATGATTTAACTCATTCACTCAGCAGTTCTGTATTAGGAATGAGGAATCAATGGTGGAGTTTACCCAGAGATGTGGATGTTCAGGTTAGGGATGATGGAAAGTCAAAAGGATGAGACGTTTTAAGGTAATAACTAAAGAAACATTTAAGTAGCCAGCCAGGGTACTTAAGTACCCCAGCAGGTGAAGGTGGAGTATTGGTTATATAAATTCAGGAAAAAGTGATGCCCAAAGAAATGGATATTCTGGCAATATTAAAGAGTAGATTTTGCATAAATGAAAAGGAAGGATAGATAGGAGTCTATGGAAAGAGGGTAGAGTTTCAGAGTGGCCACCATTCCAAAAGATGGTGAGGTATAAGGAGTGGTCCTTGCTGATCAGTGACTGAAATAGAACAAGAGAGTCGAGGAAACTGTCAGATGTAAAGAAATTAAAAAACTGTTGGCAGGGGATAGGGTATAGGGAAAATCTGATCTAGGTTCTGAAGTCAATCAATCAATCAATCAATCAGTATTTATACAAAAATAAGGTAGTCCTTACCCTCAAGGAGCTTCTATTCTGCTGGTCACTGAGAAAGTTTTGAAGGTGACCTGAAGATAGGGATGCAAGGAGGATCATGTACATGAATGGCATGAATTTCACAGGTAAAACGTCCCTGAGGGATAATGCTTAAGGAATGATCTGTGTTTTAGATGTATAAAAGAGCTGAATACATTGCCTCTTTGACATAATAAGACTTGCTAAGAATGTGGCTCTGTTTCCAGACTTAGCTTTGATATTTTCATTGAACATTTTCCACTTATCTCTGACTTCAGTAAAAATATTTCTGTTTTCATTATATAAAAACCTTTATTTCTTTCCTCTTTACCTTGTTCTTTGCAATAGACCAAAACATAGGAAAAAAAATATACAAAGCTTGACTCAGGTTTTCACTGGATATGGAAGATCTATTTGGCAAGAAATAAGATTTGTATAAGCAGATAGGAGGGGCCAGAGCATTTCAGATGGGGACTCTCTAAGCTAACATGGTGGATAGAGATCTGATCTTGAAGTCAGGAAGACTTGTGTTCAGGTCCCACCTCTGTGTGACATACACCTGCTATGTGATGAGTTACTTAACCTCTCTATGTCCCCAGGCAACTCCAAAACTTTAAGTTGCAAAGCTGGTAACAATCTGCATTGGCAAAGGGAGTTTCTTCAACAGGAAATCCCTATTCCAGTGAAGTCACAGGCCCAGACCAAAAACAAAACAAAACAAAAAAAAAAGACCCTTTCTATGGTGTGATTTCCTTCCAATTTTATCCATTAGATCAATGGGTCTGACTAGACCTCTACTGCTAGGAATACTCAGGGATTTGAAAGGGTTGGTTGTGAAAGTTCAGTTGTCTCCACCTTGGAGATACAAGTCAAAGAAATGCATTTCAGGAAATAGAAATGAGCAATGGAGTTCCTGAGAGAACTCCCATACATAATCAGTAAAAGTGGGTCAGTCCCACTCTCTCCCAGGTAGAAGAGGCTCAGAGTCAGCCAGCTATCACTCTTCCCAACTATGTTTTTGCACCTCTTTCTGTGGGCATGGTCATCATTAAATCAAAGGTCCCTGTCACCCTTCCCATCAGCTGGCAGTGCACTCCCATGGGGCTGTTAGTTCATGCTGTAGCCTGAGTCCCATCCTTGCAAAAAGCTTCACCATTAACTGTCATCAGTTCTACATTTCATCCTCACTAAAATGGTTCTCTCAGAGGCTTTGTGGGGTAACAATGTCATGTGGAGCTTCCAGTTGCTTTGAACTGCTACAGTCCAATTTGATGTTTTTCAGTCCCCCTTTTCCTTCCTTCTCCCCAACCCCTTTCCAAATGAGAGCTGTACTTTTAATTTGCCAAGCTGTGCTATAATGCCATAGAGGGCTCCCTTAAGGATAATTGGATGAGAAACAAATTAGACTTTATTCCTATTCAGCTAAAACAACAACAACAACAACAAATAAACATCTGGTAATTTGATCCATTTGGCACATTGTTCCTTACCTGGGTACTTTTTTGCCCAATTGGCTATGGCATTATTAATTTTTGACTTGGTAATCCAACTTTACTGGCATTAAAAAGAAAATGGGGAAAATAAAGTAGAGTTGGAGGATGTTTTCTCTTCAACATACCAAATAAAATTTAGCTTGGACATGTAGGAGATCCTTTCCATTGAGGTCTTCAGTTGATCTCAGATTTCACAAAATGACCTTTAAATTGGTGGTGCTGATTGCCATTTTAAATTCTGAAGCTATTCACTTGTGGATTCTCTGAGAGAAGTGACAACCTACTGTGTTTGGATGAAATAGAACAGAGAAGAGAGTTCAAATGATTTTTATTGAATCTCAGAAATCCATAAAAAACATTTACTGGATCTGGGAAATGTATATGGAAAGCAAACCCCACAGCGCTGTCTGCTAAGTGGGCAAAAGTCCCGAGGGGACAGTCCGGTCTAGCTGCTAAGCTACCCTGACAAGCTAACAGTCTAAGTAGTCACCATCCTACTGCTTTGCAGTTTGCCAGTGGGGCCCTATCTTAACCTGAATGTGTAGTTATAGGCTACAGTTCCTGGATTTCCTACCTCCAAATCTGATTGAAATGTTGGATTAGCAAGTCAATTGGGCCTGGTCTCGAACTTTGGACAAATGCTAAGTTTACAGAGTTTGGCCAGCATCATGGATAGGAGATCAGGCCTATTGTAAGTAAGCTTTCTGTGCTTGAAATACTCTGCTTTTCCATTTTTTTTTCTCCTTTTATCTGCTTTCTTTGCTCTTCCCTTTGGAGGCAGTGAAAGTGGCCGGAGTACTCCCAGTTTATCCATGTATTCAGACAGCAAACCTTCACCTTCTACCTATCAGCAGGCTCCTAGACATTTCCATGTGCCAGGTAGGCATTCAGGGCTTGGCTTTGATCTCTTGCTACCCTGTCCACGTGATCCATCTGCTCTCTCTTATCTTGCTGGGGGCTTGGGGGGGGGGTTGAATTTTCTGTGTGCATGGCAGAATGAAGACTAAAACTCCTTCTCTCACTTTGGATAATTTTTCTTGCTACTAACCTCCTGGAGGGGAGGGGGAGGGGGAGGGGGAAGAGGTCAGGGGAGAAGGGATTCCTGTGGTATCTTGTGAGCATAGCAGAGCCATACAAGGAGAGAGCATGGTATACATGTCAGCCCATGGACACATAGAAATGGGTGAAAGGAGGGGGCAGAAAATACACACTGCCACTATCAAAGGCAAGGCCTCAATTAATTAAAAAGACAAACCCCATCATTTCACCAATACCCCTGAGACCATGGGTCTCCTCATTCCAGGAAAATTCCCCTGGCTGGACACCTATGTTTTGTCCCTGGCTTCCCAACTCCCCCATCTTTCCCTTAGACTCTAGCATTACTGAGAAACTCTAGTTTCTGACCTGACCTGGCTTCTGACTTTCTCCTTCTCTTGAACTGCTCATTAGACCCATGGCCTCTTGTTCCCCAGGAGGGATTTCTTATCTGACCTAATCATCACATACACTGCCCTTCAGCAGAGATCTCATGGTACTATCTGACGCTACCCTTTTTCCTGAAGACCTAACCCCCTTTATGGTGGTAGAGTGTTCTTTCTGTGCCCTCCAACTTCTGAGATACCAAACTGGCCAAGGGCTAGCATGCCTGCTATATGTCTCCTTCTGCTCTGCCGTGGCAGAAGTGCTATAAGGATCAAATTGGGGGGAGGGCACAAAGAATTCACACTTGTCTTCATAATTGTGCTTTTTAAAACTCTCTAAAATGTTATTTATTTTCCACAATAGTAAATGAGGCAATGATATATGTAGTGGAGAGAATTCTGAAGATCTGAGTCCAAACCCCAACTCTACCTTCTATTAACCATGTGACTTTGGGCAAATCACTTCACCCCTGACCCTTAGTTTCCCCACCTGGAAAATGGGGATGATGACATTTGAACTATCTCTTCATGCAGAGTTGTATGGAAAACATTTTATAAGTTGTAAAGTGTGAAAGAATTATAATTACAGATACCTAGGAATAGAAATGTGGTTACTTGCTGGATTACGGCATCAAATTTCTGTGCTCGATAAAAGCCTTAAAGGACTTAATGTGTCTAAACATAACAACTTCCATTATTGCCACCTTAAAACTGGGAACATTCAATGATATAGACGTGACTTGACTCAGCAAAAGATGTTCTATTTAATTTTCTCTACGTAAGGATCTTTTTTCTTTAAATTACTCAATGGGTAGGAGGCCATTATGGTGATTCTAAACTGTGTGAGGAATGAAGCTTTTTTCTTTTGTTTTGTTTTAAGAAATGGAGTGGAAATTGTCACAACTGCTTGCTCACTCTTTTGTTCTTTCCTCTCTTTTCTTTCCTCCTCCTCAGACTCTGGAGTAAAAGATAACATCTATAGGAAACCCCCCATCTACAAACAGAATGGTAGAGTCTGCTTTTTTCTTCCTTCAGGTTTTCATTGTTGATGCTGCTATCCTCTGCATGTCTTCTGTATTCCTGTTTACAGCTGAATCAATTCTCTTTTGTTCTGGTGAATGATCATTTCAACTTGACAGAGGCAGCTATGGTTTCAGAGCAAGAGTGCTGAATTTGGAGTCAGAAGGCCTGGGTTCAAATCATGGCTCTGCCTCTTAAAAAAATATTTAACCTTGGGCAAATCCCTTCCCTTCTCTGGCTGCCATGTGTAGAAAATGGATGGGATGCTCTCTAAGACGCCTTAGCCAGCTTTAACTCCTGTGATTCCGAGGCATACATAACCTCATTGTGAATTATATAAAGTCACTGCTAGGATATTAAGAGTCATGTTTTCAGAAACTGCAGGAAAAGAAAGTCAGCATGTGAGTAGTTACTCAACCAAACCTCTGAACATTAATGATCTTAAGTCAACATTGTGCAGATGTGAAGGTGCTTTTAGATTTCCAGACAAGCAAGATCCATGATCTGAGAAAATCTTAACCAGAAACTATGGCACATGCTCCATTTTTAAAGGGTTTTTGGTGGGACCCTGGACAAGTCACTTAGCCTCACAATGCTTTAGACCAAAGGTGTCAGACTCACAACCACAAAACTCCCCAGTGAAGCCTGAACCAGATAAAAATACAATTGAGATGTGTTTAACAAAATAAGTGAAAGTATAATACAACATAGTTAATATTAATTTATGATTTTCTGAGCCAATATGCAACCAAGACATTCATAGTTGAGTTTGACGCCTTTTCTTTGGGAAACTCTATAAGATTGTAAGTTGAAGAGAAGGTGCCAACTTGCATTGATAAAAGAAGTTTCCTCATCTGGGGAATTCCAAATACTAATAAAATCACAGATCTATTCCCTTTTCCTGTTCCTTGAAGGGGGAAAGATATTTTAGGGCCACTAAAAGAAACCTAATTAGTGCCCAGAAATAGATATTGACTGACTTCATAGACAACTAATGTAATTTAACTTTATTGTGAGAGGAAAAAATGGGGAATAAGGGAAGAGATTTAGTTCACTCAATTTATTTCTTGCCACTTGAGGCCAAAATAAATTATTTGGCTATAAATTAGCATCCTTACTCTCTTCCCAGCTGCACAAATGCCCTGCTTAAGGTTTTGTTTCCTCTTCCAAGGCAGGGAAATATATATTTTTAATTGTGTGAATTTGCAGAGAGTGACTTCTTCCAGACTTCTCTCTCAATCAATGAATCATAGAATCATTATGTATTAGAGCTAAAGCAGACTTTAAAGCAAGGTAGATAGAATGTCAGATTGGAAGGGACCTCAGCGATAATTTAGTACAAGTCCTTCTTTTCCAGATGGGGAAACTGAGGCCTGGAAAAGTCAATTAATAAATGAATGAACGTCTTCCCACAAGGATGCCTGGGTTGAATATATTCTGATTCTAGGACAGGTTGGACCAGATGGCCTTTGAGGTTTCTTCTAACTACAAAATCTTGTGTAAGATATTGAGTCATTAGATTCATCAGATGCTGTGAGCAAAGAGCCTCAAAACATTCAGTCCTGCTATAAAATGTATTAACAATTAACCTTCATAGGATTGCAGGAATTAAAACTGGAAAGCGTCTTAGAAACTGTCTGGTTCAGTTCCCTTATTTGACAGATGAAGAAACTGAGGCCTAGAGAGGTTAAGCAGCTTGCCCAAGGCCACCCAGGAGTGTCAGAGCCTGGATTCAAATGCAAGTTCCCTGACTACAAATCTAGTGCTTTTCTCTCTGCATCACACTAAGTGGGTTTCCTCATGTGGGTGGTAAGTTCCTCATCTGTCAAGTAGGAATCTAAAAGATATGAAATGTTAAAGTCTTAAATACATTTCCTTGACTTTTTGATGGAGGAGTGGAGTTTGAGGGATGAAAATTCTAAATCCAGTTTTTTTCATGTTTTTGATCTGTGTATTAATATGTCTCTTATTTAAATGCTGGTCAAATCTATTTTTCTAAATGCCAATGGAGCTTCCAAATTCTTTTGTGCTATTGTACATATTATTGACAAAAATAATTAGGCTATGAATTAAGTTGGGTATCTGACATTTGCTATAGAGTCTCAGAATATCCGTTGTAAGGGACCAGAGAAGCCTTTTAGTCTGACCCATACCTGAATAAGGATCACCTCTACAAAGTGTCCAACAAACAACTACCTGACCTTTGATTTGAAGACTTTTATTGAGGGGAAACTTGGGGCAACTGATTTTATTTTGGGACTCAAGCCTAGCAAAACATGTATGGCCAGTTCTTATCATCAGCTCTGACTCTCCCAGCCCCCAACCCTAACCAGCTGGGACTAATCCATTTGTTCATTTCCCCTTACCACACATAGATATAGATATACCACACCAACAGGGCTACACTAGTTATCTCCTCTTTCCCAGGGACCCAGAAGATAAGAAAAGTTAGCTTTCTTGAGCTAGTGTCTAAGGCACTCCCTCCAAGGAAAATACAAACTTCACATAAGACCTGAACACCAAAGGTGCAGAATCCATCCAGGCAAATATCCTTACACTGTTCAGAGAGTAGTCACTCTGTATTTTCTCAGAGAAGCTGAAAAGGGGCTAGAAATAATAATAATTTATATACTGTAATGCTTATGATCTTACGAAGAGCCTTTCTCACAAAACCCTGTAAAATACGTAATGTAAGTATTACCATGGCCACTTACAGATGAGAAAAGAAAGAATCTGAGAGCCAAGACCTGAACTCAAGTGTTCTGACTCTAAGTCCATTGGTCTTTCTGCTGCAGGACCAGAATATAATGGCACCAGGAAATGTTTATCCTGGTCCGCCATCTTATTTCCAAGGGAGGGCGGCTGCTTGCTGGGCACTATAGCCAAGTGTCTCTTTGTATCCTCTTGGTTATATCCTTCTTCCCCAGAGATTCTCCATTGGAGAGCTGAAGTTGGCTGTGGGCCATGAAAGCCACAAGCTGGTGACAGTTGTCCAGAAATGGTCTGTCTTAATGGACCTTAACAAACAAAAAATATACATACATACATATACATGTATATATGTGTGTGTATGTATGTGTGTATATACATATCATGTACACACACACATACACACACATATATATATGTATATAAGTAAAAGCTGGCCTTAGAGATTGCCACTCAGCACTTGTGCCAAAACCAGCTGTGTCAACTGATCTCAGGAAAAGTGAATTAGATGTTTTGTGGCCTAGTAAAGTTTTTGGATGTTGTTCATTTTTAGCTTCAGTTTTAATTCTCCACTTAACTGCTTGGTCAGTTAGAGAAGTTCCTGGAAGGAAATTTATCAGTCTTTATATTCAGAAGGAAGACTAATGATGATTCTTCTCACTGAGCTGAATAGCCCATAGCCCCTGGCAGTGCTTTTGCTTAAGAAATCAAATTGAAAGAAATTTATTT